TCCATACTCTGATCCGTCCAGAGGGAAATCCGTTTCATCCTCATGTGGTTTACTTTGCTGTGAGTCTGATCAACGGAGACACAGGGCAGCCATGCACAGTAGTCCTCTCCGCTAAGAAAGCCTTCTCCTTCCAACAGGGATGTCAGGGTGAGCTCTGTAGTGAGACAGGGAACAAGATGAAGGCTGGTGATTCCTAGGTCTGAGCGAACACCATTGCAGGTTACCCACCCGAAGATAAGGGAGTACAAGACTCTGTGCAGAGATCACGGAAACAGCAAGACCTGGCTGACTGCGGAAGTCTGTCAAAGACAGGAAAGGCTGAGAGGTGGAGAAAGAAAGCTCTTATTCAAATCCAGTCTGTTCCTTGGTAAGTTATGAAGGAAATTAAAAATACATAATAAGTAGGTCAGAATCCTTTTTTATTTTATTTTATTTTATTTTATTTTATTTTATTTTATTTTATTTTATTTTATTTTATTTTATTTTATTTTATTTTATTTTATTTTATTTTATTTTAATTTCTATACACAGCTCTGTTTTTTATGTATTTTTACCCTAGAGTCAGCTTTCAATTTATCTTATTTTTGGACTGAAAATATGTAACTATCACAAATTATAAAAAAGAAGTTGAAAAGTAAACTGCAGTTCCTGGCACCAAGATGAGTTACAAGTGCTTAAAAATGTAGAGTAAGAGCTAACCCAACAGACTGGTTTTTGCTACAGCCTTTCTCTGATGAGCCCACCTCTCTGGTAATTTCTCACGCATCTTCAGCCGTGTCTTAACCTTACTTCTTCTGTCCATAAGCAAACCTGATTGTTGAAGAGAATCTTGTCTTTATGTCCTTGGTCTTGCTTTCAAGCCATAGCCACTGGAAAAGAGTGGAGTCTGGGAAGAAGACCCGAAGAGAAACTTTCATAGGAAGAAAATGAACTGGTTTTACTGTCCATCAGTGTCACCATTTTACTGTGCTGGAGAGAGTGAAGCAATGCAACAACAAATCTGTCAAAATATGATCTTGTCCTTGTTCTTGTCGAAGAATGCAGCCAAAGCTGGTTGCAATACCACCACCTCCAATCCCAGCAGTTTCTGTACTTCCTCGCAGGTGTTTGTCTTCCATGGGGGTGACAGCTGAATTGTGTGCAGAAGGATTGACTGAGGCTGGCACAGATCCAAAGGCAAGTCTCCTCTTGGCTTGCTGTCTTCCTCTGGCCAGATGTTGCCACTATGGAGCAGAGGCTGCTGGAAACCAATTCTTGTTCAAGCAGTCATTTGCTCAGTTCCGACAACAGGCTTCCAGCACTAAGTCTTGAGCAATCTTCACTGGGAAAGCTATGTGTTTCTGCAGCGAGGCTCTTTTTTCTTTCAGGGGCTTCTGCTCTGAGACAATTTGGAGTAGAGAGAAGCATTTTCTGAAAGACTCTTCTGGGCAGAGGATCTTCATTGTTAGTCTTGTAGTAGCACATGCTCTGAGATTTCCATCAAATTAGGTTTTGGACATAGATGTAGAGAAGATTGTCATTGGGTTTCTAGGCCTGTATTTCTTGATGTCCACTTGGTATGGAACAAATCAAAGAGGCATACTGTATTCTTGTGCCTCTTTCCTCCTAATGAATTAATCCTTCCCTTTTTCTACAAGAATGGATGAAATAAATGTCATGCTCGTATAAGGTGATCTACAGCTTATCTTCTGGCACAACCGCAATGTTGTCATCTGAAATCCAAGGTTACTCTGCACTGTAACCTAGTCATCAGCTGTCACCCAACTTGCGAGCATTTCTAACCAGTCCTACCTTACCAGTCAGGCGTTTTTGTTAAATGCTCCAGGGAATTCTATACATATTGTACAAGTGTGACTTTTGCTTCAATATGCACATTACAGACCCTTCACTTCAGAATGAGAACTACCAAGAATTCACGAGCTTCTTCCTCTAAGCCCAGAATGCACGGTGATGTGCTTGCGTTCTGCTCTGCAAAATGGCATGGCAACTTTACAACAGCTACAGACTTCTGCGTAGTAGCTTTTTACTTAGTGTCAATCCCAGCTAAGATGCTTGCTTTTCCCATGAGTCTTGTTTTCCCCATTCTTATTCCACTTCAAGAAAGACATTTGGTTATCTCTTTTCCTTTATCCGCACGGGACACTGCTACCTGTGTTTTTCTCACATCTATTTCATGGCTGATCTTTGTCTCCACTTCCTCTGTTATAAATCCCTACATCTGTTAGATTTGGACTCCTGTTTTCAAACACCTTGGTAACTTTTTGCTTTTTGAGATGCTTCTACTTTCTTGAAGAAGAAAGACCTGGATGGACAAGTCAAGTATCTCCAAAGAAAGGAAGCGTGCAGAATTCATGAGAAAAGCCACAAAGCAAATTGCCAGCTGATTCACAGCATACCTGATCGTTTTGTTTTCCAAGATATTAAAAACACCACTGCTGTGCTGGCCAAGAGGAAATGTGGCAATTCCCTTCGGGCTTGGAGTACTTACGACACTCAAGGTACTAATGCTTATCTGGTATCTTTTCAATATTGAGTACCTTGTGTTCTTTTGCCCAAGGTGAAGACAGGCAGTTTTGGAACCAACAGACTACACCTGGGTAGCCAGATAGCATACCATATAGGTATCCTTCTTCACTTCTATGAAATTCTGAAGTGGTTCACCTGGGAAATACAACAGCAGCATAGTTGTTAGACAGCCAGTCATGTGAAAGGCTTTGTTCAATTGACTGCTGCTTGTAAGCAATAATTACATCATGACAGAAAGTGACAGACTGACATCATTGTTTAGTGCATAACTCCGGTCTGTATGTGAATAGCTGGATTAGTAGGAATGGGAAAGAACCACATAAGTAAGTCTACACAGGAAATAAAGACAGATAGAATCATTTTTGTCTGTTCTTCTAAAAGCTGTCTATTAATTATGAAGCCACAGCACTGCTTCAAATGCTGGAATTGACACTGTTCCTGTAAATTGACACTGTTCCTTTCATTTCATTAGACCAACTACACAGAGTTGTATAGAGAAGACTATTCTTGTGAAGAAGAGTTGTATAGCATAGCCTAAGTACCCTCAATCGAAGCAGGTAAAATCATACCTAGTAAAGAACAAAAGAACATGTCTTTCTTTCATGAGCTAAGTGTAAGAGCATTCCCAAAATTCCGTCCTGACTTGGGGAACAACAAACCAAAACTGTGCAAAAGAAATCATGAGCCACTGGGATGAGTGCTCTGGCAAGCAGACCCAGACTCTTCAGATTCTTTGCAGCAAATCTACCCAGGCTATCATTTGCACTTCCTATCTACTTCAGTGCAACCAACTTTTGATTTATCCTCGGAGTATTTCTCAAGTTTTTCAGTCCTTCCCCAGACCTCTCGCCTTCACACGGGCCATGAAGCCCACCTTCAGCCAGAGAGGAGGCATGGCCACCGTGAAGAAAGAAAATGAATGGGGACAGTCCCTGCCACCTCATCCTAGTACGACGTACTGGGACCAGGTTGCCATAGGCGTCTGTCCCTGGAGTGGAGCAGGGTGGAGCATTAATCAGAAAGGAATTTGTCTCCATTGCCGAGAGCAAGCCACATTCCTCATGGATATCACAAGTCTTCTTTTCATTCCCTGTGGAGCTCTTGAAGCCCTCTGCTCAGGGAACCTCACTGCTGGAGACCCCTGTATGTTCTACAGGGACTCCTGGTACCTCAAGTGACCTGAGGCGTGGATTTCACAGCTCAACTGGAAGCTTGAGCCATGCATAAGCCTTAGGTATTGCAACCTGTTCCTTCCTTAGATCTCTCCTTACCTACATATGGACAAGATTGTCAGGTGTTGTTTTTGAACCTTCCAGTACCCACTAATCACTGAATTGAAAAAGCCAATCTGCAAGCATGGACTGGATTTCCAGCAAAAAACGGAGAGAAGCCCTGGAAAAGCTGTTGTGAACAATAGCCCCCTCTTGTGTGTTAAAGGAGCAGCAGGGCTGTGTCTGCATAGGCCTGAGCTTTGGAGCTTTACGCAAACTTGGTAAACTTGTGAGGAAAGCAACCAGTGCAAGTGGCTTCCCCAAGGGGTGACTGCACAGAAGCGAACGCCTGACAGTGGCTGCCCAAGCTGACGGCTTAGCTCTGGTCTGGATATATCATAAGCTTTGTTGTGCAGGGTAGAAGTGAATTTCCGTCATGAAAAACAGCCCAGTGCTGGATGATATCATGTTTATTTCATAAAGAAGCAAGGAGGGAGGAAAACATGACTGTTTTCTAAGACTCTTGCACATCCTCAGCACATTGACCACGTAGGTCCTAGCACTGCACTAGTAAGGGAAGACCTCAACCAGGAGCAGATTATTCTTGATTAATTTAAACTGGGGGAGCGGGAATCACACCAAAGACGTCCTTTTCACCAACATAGTTTATTTTGCCTGTCATGGCTCTATACAAAGACAGTAAAAAGGCAACAAATAAGGCAATATTCCCTCCTTCCCCTTCCCTCTCCTCCCCTCCACTTCCTTCCCTGGCTCTCTCCTCCCCTATACTCCCCTACACTCACCCCCCTAAGCTCCCCTACACTCTCCTCTCCTACACTCCCCTATACTCTCCTCCCCTACGCTCCCCTACACTCTCCTCACCTACAATCCCCTCCCCTACACTACCCTACACTACCACACACTACTCTACACTCCCCTACACTATGCTCCCCTACACTCCACTAGACACACCTCCCCTACCTTCCCCTTCACTCAGTTCCCCTACACTCTGCTCCCCTACCCTCCCCTTCACTCAGTTCCCCTACACTCCCATACACTACCCTACACTCCACTACACTCTGCTCCCGTGCCCTCCCCTGCCCTCCCCTGCCCTTCCCTCCCCTCCCCTTCTCGTTTTTACCCTTCCCTCCCCTCCCTCCCGTTCTCTTCGTTCCCTCCCCTTCCCTCCCGTCTTCTCCTTTCTTCTTCTCCTCTCTTCTCCTTTCTTTCACAAATTGCAATGGAGAACAGGGAGAAGCATCACTTCCAGTCACTTCCGTCGTTCTCGTAGCTTGTGTCACTGCCTGATTCGTGGCAATCCATCAGCAGGATCCAGAAGCGTTCCAGCTGCTGTGCTACTAGGTGAGCAGCCGTCTCCAAGTGGCAATCACGGATTTCTTGCTGTGGCTCGGACACGGCACTTTCAAGTCCACCCTGGCTTGGCCATGTCCTCTTGCTCTGTCCCCACCTACATTACAGTTCTGCTTAGAAGCCGAAGCACGCTGCTGAAGTACTTCCACTCCTTCCATTTGCAAGGATTGAGTTTGTCTAGCCAAGTGGTTTCTGTCCATAGAACACAAGAAAGAGGTTTTGGTTAGAAACAACTCAAGGAGGACTTCTTTTCCACATGGGCAAGGAATAGTCACGCTTTTCTAATGGAAACTCCAGTGGAAGAGAGAATGACAGATCATGCCGAGAGCTTTGAAATATCCCTTGGGGATGCCTAGTGCAGAGGACCAGAGGAAAGCTGTCCAAAGGACACCAGAGAATCACTCGGAATTACTTCCTCACAGACACATGTCCTTACTATGTCTGATATGGCTTCATGTCTGATATGGCTTCAGCTGGTTTCAGGGTTCTTGTTCACCTAAAACCTAAATTCGGAGTTGTAAATGAAGATGGAAAGATTGACAAATGTATAAATCACTGATGGGGAAAAAAAAAAAAAAGAAAAAAAAAAAAAGTGCTTGGAGAACTTTGGCCATTAGCCCTGGAAAGCATCAAAGTACTGTCCTCTGAAGCAAATGCCTTCTTCTCTTGATACCTAAGGAGGGAAATCAATCCAATGTTGTAACATTAGAAAAGCAAACACTAAACACAAGCAAAGAAGAAGAACAAGTAAGCAATTGCAATGCCTATGGGGCTATTGCAGGGTTAGGCAAAGAACTATTGTGCCATGAAATCTTGGCATAGAAGAAATATTATGTGCATTTTTTACTGTTTCATTTGTTGAGCTCTGTTTGGAAGGGAGTGAATCTATCAGGATTAGATATCTAATTTAGAAGTGGAATTAAAATTGTTTTCTTTTTTTTTTTTTTCCTCTTGAGTTCACTCCTTCCTATAGGATTTCATAATAGAATAGGTATATATTAAAAAAAAAAAAAAAGATTCCAAGCAGGTAATCATATTCACAATTATTTTTTCAATCCAGAAACAATAGCAAGGATGAGCTGAAAAGTATTTCTATGCCATTAGAGTGTCAAGGTGTGTCCCATACATTAGTAACAGTCAGAGGATTCATTTTGGAGAACAAAAGCTATCTTGAAAGAAGTAAAGACAGAAGTAAATATGTATGCATGTATATCTCCCTCTCTCTACAGAAACCTAAGAAACTCGTCTGCAGGTTAGCTTCTTGCTCTCTCTTCTCAAAGTTCTAGTGAATACAGCATCAGTGTGTGTTCCAAACATTACCCTCAGTCCAGCACGGATACACACGAGAGGTCAGTCTGCAGGTTGCGCAGGCCAAGAAACTGCTCTGGCTTGATGGGAAGAGCCAAGGCAGAAGTTGCTGTCAGAGAAAAGATGCTGTCAAAGCGTGTCACGTCCATGCTAGAGCACCATCTAGCATACCATCTCTCCCACCATCTAGCTCTACTGCATCTAGATGCAGCTATACTAGAGCGTCGCTACTTAGCCAGTCTGGGGGATCTTAGGAGCCTTCTGAAGACCCAGAGGAGGGGCTGTTGTCCTTTCTGTTTTAACAGCCAGGGAAAACTCTTACCGTTTGACACAGAGGGGCTGAAAAACACAAAGTGGACTTGCAATCTTCAGAGCTTCGAAGCAAGTGGAGATTGTGGAGGTTGTGGAGTAACCAAGGAAACTGTTGATCTAGAAGCAGCCTACAGATTGTGTTTAGCCAGGGCCTTGTATTGCCCTTCTGGCTGATCTGCCAGCAATTCAAGAAAGTCTCCCTGGCAAGCCAGCCCTGGAGTCACCCCAAACTTGGTGAAACCCATGCGATTGGAAAGGAGACAGTTGCACTCCATAAACTGCAGGTTTCTGTGCTTTTTGCTTGCTTGCTTGCTTGCTTGTTTTCCAGGCTGAATTGGATTAGCTGGACAAGTTGGCAGCTGCCTACAGACAAATACCTTATCAGGAGTCTAAACTACGGGATTGCTCTAACTGAGAACAAGGAATTGGACTTGACGTCCTTAGGAAGTCTTTCCAGCTACGCTTTCTACCACTACAGAAATGCACCTGATTCTTTCACAAAGCTTACGGGTGCTGACTGCAAATAGTCCTCATCATTCTCCATTGCCTTCCTCATCTCCATTCTCTTTTGGCCCGTGAAGCTTTTCCGAGCAGAGATGAAGATCAGCTCTAATACGCAGTCTGGCATTCTGCAAAGGAAAAGAGGAATCCTCCTGAAAACTCTTTGCAACCTCACCCGCCATCCCCAAAGCAAAGAAGAGCAAAAGAACAGCGCTTGATCACAGCAAGCATCAACTCGAGCATAGGTCTCCTGCAAGTGTAGCGGGGTTCAACAGCTGCCAAACAAGCTTAAGGAGCACACCCAGAATCAAGTCCATCCAACAAGTGCTTGAAAGAGTTAGGTTTTCTTAGGCGTGAGGAATGAAAAAGAAAGCAAGAACTGACCAGTTACCAGCACACAGTTTCCCTCGAGCTTGCTTGGCTTCATTCCGCACCTGAGGCTGGGCTCCCAAGCAGGATTGAGCAGCATTGTGCAGAAACGCCAAAGCCTCCCCAGCCGTGCTGGATCTTCAGCCCCAAGGGCTTTGGCTCTGTTGCCTCCTCAGCAACATGGGCAATTGCCCAGGCAAGCCGGTGTCCAGCAGCTCGACGCAGGAAGCGCAGCCCCCCCTTGCCACCGCTTGGCGCTCACACCAGGAGCCCCCGCGGCGGTGGCAGCCGTTGCGCGGCGCTTGGTGCGGTGCGGTGCGGGCAGAGGGCTGCGGGCTCCTTCTCCTCGGGGGCGGCTCCGCCATGGGGCGTCCGCTGCGGGGCTGCTGAGGCGGCGGGGGGCTCCATGGGGGAGCGGAGGGCGACGTGCGCTGGGGCTGGGACGGGCCTGGGGCTGGGGCACCGCGCCGCCGCCGCCATGCCAAGCGGCACTCCTGGCATCTGTGCTGCAGAGCCAGCCAGTGTGACGCCTTGGCGTTTGTGACTTCACAGAATCACAGAATGTCTACGTTGGAAGAGACCTCAAGACCATCGAGTGACAAACAAAGGCAACTCTGCATTTCCTTCTTCAACACCCGCTTTCTTCACAAAAACAAAACAAAACAAAACAAAAAACACAGAACTTCATCCCTCACACGGGACTCCCGAACTGAGCCTGCAGGGGCTGCCAAAGGCAGCAGCTCCTCAAGCACTGCTCGCACACGGCTCCCTACCACGGGCTCCATCCATCCCCCAGGAGCAAACTTGGTCAAACTAAGCCCCTTTGGAGATATTGGATGGCAGGCCTTACCAAATGCCGGACAAAGGAAAAGATCTAACACAAGAAGGGCTGCCCCGTGCCAGGCACAGTGTAGTTCCAGGCACTTCCAACAGCCCCAGTGCAGGCAAGAGTGAGCCTGTGCGGGATGATGACAGCGCCTCTGGAGAAATGTCCGGCAGAGGGCTGCCACGATGACAGAGCGGGCCTGGACTAGAGCAGCCCAGAGGTGTCTCCTGACCCCCACCTTGCTGTGAGCTGGTGTCTTGACGGGAGGCTGCCGGGAACAAGGAGGCTCCACAGCAAGCACTCAGGCTTTGTGACGTGGGGCGGCGTCAGGCCACAAGACCATTGTGACACGGCAAGCGTCCCCATGGTGACGGTGTGACTTATATGGCCCGAGCCCCCGTGGTGCTCACTCCCAGGAGTGCAGCGCCGTCAGGAGGCAGCAGCTGCCCTGGGTGCCTGTTTCTTTGTCTCTGTGAGAGGACAAAGGGATGCCGAAGGAGCAAGAGGATGGACAAGTCAAGTATCTCCAAAGAAAGGAAGCATGCAGAATTCATGAGAAAAGCCACAAAGCAAATTGCCAGCTGATTCGCAGGATGACACCTCCTGGGGTTTTCGAGAATTATGCAACAAAATAACCTTTTTGGTTACCCAACTTTTCTTGGCTTAAGCAATCGTTTAGAGGAATACTGATCTTCTTTTTAATAGTAGTAGTCTTGACTAGTGTAGTGGTACAGTGTGCATTTTGGTGCTGTATGAAGGACTAGATTATGATACCTGGAATTGTAACTGAAACAAGCACCAAGTCAAAACTGGTAAGAATTTAATGAAAACTTTTAATCAAGAAGGATTGTAATAAGCCAAAGAATTTGCTTAGGCTCAAGAAAAGGGGGGACTTGAGACAGGGAACAAGATAAAGACTGGTGATTCCTAGGTCTGAGCTAGCACCATTGTATGTTAAGGACCCGAAAGACGAGGAAGTAAAAGACTGTGTCTTTTACTTTCCTCTGGCTCTTTGCTTGTAATACAAGCTTCACCTTTCTAACTTGCAATTTAGGCAATCTTAAAACAACTGAACCGTGACAGTAAAATATGAAATTCTTCGTATTTTCAAAAGTAGTCTGCAATTTCATTAGCAGAACACACAAAGCATATTCTTTGAATGTGACTTTAATGTACACAGGGATTTTTGTTATTTTTAAAGCTCATCACTTTTTTATTACATTGTATGATGCCCCAAAATATATTCAGAGGAAAGATAACTAAAGGTAATTATACAAAAATACTGAGCGCTTCTTACAAACGTTACAAACATATGGATTTGAAAAAGTTAGAAATTCACAGGGACATTCACCCTTCTACATTTCGCTACAGTTTGGCTGGGATGGATGTTTCCTCACAGCAAAACATGTCCTGGACTACATGCTTCTTTGTGTATTAGACACAGAATAATCTTCCCCATGCTCATTTATGGTCCAACCTGTGCAATACTCACGGTCACACCGCCACAGCGTACTTTCGAGTAATGAACCTCTAGGCTTATTATCCTGCCTGGAGAGCTAAACCTCAATTCACTCTGGTAGCAACAGATGCATATGTGACCAGCATCTATGTGTTACAAAGACATGGCACTACCTCAAGTGTGACGAAATAGAACCATCAGTTAAGAGGAAGAATGAGTCACGCTGAGCCTTAAGACGAAACACGGGGCCAAGAAGGCTGCACTGTGCGTGTGAAGTGGTGGTGGTGGCAGTGTGAGGTGTAAGACAACCAAGATAATGACAATGTTTAAACCATTTTTGCTTCTACACTAGAACTACTTCATTTTAAGTTTGAGTTGTGGTTAGTAGGACATGGAACAATCAAAAACTTTTCATAGTTGTTTGTTGGTCCTTTTTTTTTTTTTTTTTTTTGGTCAAAGCATATATCACATTAGGAAGCTTATCTTCTTACTACAAATATCTAGGTCTTTTAACCTTAATAAAGAATGATTTTAGTTAACTGGAAGTATGGACCTCCTCACTGACAATCTTCCAAGAAATAACTTCTTTGAAATCAAGTGCTGGCAGCAAAATCAAGTTGATTGTTTAAAATACTGGCATCTAAAAGCATAGCATATTACACATTTGTTAATTATAATGCCATTCAGAGTCTTTCAGATAATAAAATACCGTTTTCTCAACCACAACAGTGTGAGACTGTAGCTTCTGAAATTATGCTCGAATCCACAGAAAACCAAACATGAATTTAGAACAGTGTTATACCACTGCCTCTATTACAAACTGATGTTGTCTCTCCTTTGCAAGTGTGGGGAGATGTAGTACCTTCCTGGATAAGAGTTAGTTCAGTAAAAATATGATTTTTATGGCTATCTGATATACTTTTGTCTGTTTGCTACCCCTCAAATGATCTACTGACGAACACAAAAGCATTTTAAGATCATGTACTTACATTTAGTAGGTGCCATTAGTTGATGGGGTGACTCTCCAAAAAAGCCCTTCAATTTCTTCTTCAGCTCTCTGCTGGTTTTCTCTAGAATAAAAGAAGTCTTTTTCCAGTTGCTGGACTTTTACTTCATACTCTTTCAAGGTTTCTGCAATACCTTCACCATCTTGTTCTAGGGCAAGTAAAACTAGTATGAGAATCAAATCCTCACTTCACTTCTCTGTGCCAAAATCAAGATGCCCAGCTAGAGAATGCCCTGTATTTTGCCGACACTCTGCTTTCAGGGTGTACATTTAAACTAGTATGACAGAGGAGCAAAAAGCCCATGCCAACCCCAATTCTCCATTTTAATAGGAGCATTTAGAGGATAAAGATCAATGGGATTGCTATCTTTCACCTTTCCAATGTCAACAAATTGAATATAAAAATATGACAATTCTGACCGTTTTTTAAAAATGGTCAGCTTTTTTCTTTTATACAAGCACCTTGTGTCTGTTCATCAGCATCCTACACGACATCAGAATTAGTAACAGCCAAAATGTTATCTTTCTACCTCATACCTTCTTTTTTCTTTCATATGAAACACAGTATTTCTCAACAGTGACTAAAGATAATATCTGCTGTACAATTCCCCTTTGAAAACAAACAAGCACCCTTGAAATGATGCAGTATCAACTGTAGTTTTTTCTCATGTTCTCTGTGTTGTAGCGTCAGCTGCCTGTCACACTGCAACTTGATGTGCTCAAGTGCAGATTCCAATTCACGTATTATATTTTCCTGGTCTATGACCTTCGTTTCCTGTTCTTCAGTCTGCAGTTGTAATTTACGTTCAGATTCTCGCAGGCCAACAATCTAAGACAATCTAATACACTTCTATCAAACCATTTCAACAAATGCTTTTACAGTTCTGCTTAATAGATGAATGGATACAAAAGCAATTGTCTCTATAAGCTGTAAGCTTATACTGGAAACAGATTTGCCTGCTGACATGAGTTCACACTTCAGAATTGAGCTCTGTAGATTTTGATCACATGGACTAGTGGATTTTTTAATGCACTGTGCAGAACTTAAACTGATACAAGAGTTTTTTTCCTGTTTCTGGAAAACTGCCACTGTTTTAGGCACTAGACCTTTTATTTGCCTCCCAAGGGGAAGGATGCACTTTAATCAATATTAGTTGCCGTATGTGTGTAAATGAGGCAGGAGGAATTGAGACTGAGCACGAAAACATTTGGGGAAAGACTAAGGTAATTTTTTGGGGGAGCTCTTTGGGGAAAAACTGGTTTTACCTTCCACTTAGAAGTGACAGCAAACCATGACCTCTTAATAGTTAACAATCAATAAAATAAGTACACTTCACTACTAGAAAGACACTGAAACTTGAGTGTGTAAAGTCCTGAAAATTAAAAATTGTAGGCATTGGCTGCTGTATTTTTGTTTTAAGGGGAAGAGAGAACCTTTGTTACTTGCGCCTATCAAAGTATGTTTAGCCATGCATACACACACGAAAAAAACAACCCTTAATTGAGTTTCAGTCCAGTTGACCTTTAAGTCAGCGCTAAACAGAATGAAAAGCTTTCCTAATAGAAGTCTGTTGCTTTACCTTTGCTCACTGCAAAAGCCATTTTGTGGACTTGACCACTGACAGAAAGCTATATGCTAACCAACAATATTTAACTCTAGAGTTAAACACTAAACTATCTAGAGCCAATACAAGAAGTGAAGCATTTCTACCTCTCCACCCAAAAGACCTCCTCTGTGAGGCTGCGAACAATGAACAGAAAGCTGTTAAGAAATTGGGAAAAAAAAAAAAAAAGAGATATACCATTGGTTTACAATGGCTTAAATGAAGAGCATCAACTGTTTTCCCTCCTGGAGCTGATAAAACACTGCAGGGCTGAAATGAAAGAGTGTTTAATTTCCTAGAATGACGACACAGCTGTAGCATTTAGGCAGAAAAGAAACAGGGAGAAAGAAGAGACGGGAGAGGAAAAAAGATCTATTTCAAACATTCAATTTCTGCATCACCCATCAATTCTACACAACTGTCAACATAACCACATCACATGCTTTATTCTAACTACACCAACATTTTAATTACACTAACATTACGACAGATTAGCAGTAATACCCTTCATTTTCATTTCGTATACAGCAATTTTTTGTCAAAATTATTTTATATACAACACAGGTTGTTTTTTTAACCAGCACATTAGATTTTAAGAACACACACTCCATTTCAACTACGAGTTGTGGCCTTTTTAAGATAAACTGTACTTGTAAATGCAAGTTGTGCGTGCACAAAAACCACAGAACGTGGACCAGTTCTTTCTGGCACTCAAGCATTTAAATGCCCAAATCATTTATAATAGATTGTACTCCTCATGCAGGTAGTAAGGATTTCTTATGTGAAAAAAAAAAAAAGAAAGAAAGAAAAAAAAAACACAACAGGAGAAAGATGTCACACGTTGTCAAATGTGATGACTAGACAGTGACATGCCCTGCACACCCCGATGGGAAATTCTTGTGGTTTTTGGTATACATATGAAGCCCCACTTTGGATGTTGCCTTGTGTCTCTGTGCTCTTATGAAACTGTTCCATTATCAACCCCACTGAGGATCACAGAACGAATTAAGCGAGGGGATGTAGTTTCTTCAGACGCAGGATGTGAGTGGTACAAATGTAAGCTGCAAGCTGGATGAATGTTATCGGTACCAAACCTGTGAGGGCAGAGCTCACACTCCACAGAGTGAAAGAGCTATAATGCCTGTAACATCAGAAGCAAAGACAGCATAAACTGAATGTCCAAATGTGTTCTTTAAAGCTCCCATTTCCATATGCTTTTCATTTTGCAAATCTGAACTGTCTAGGATGGTAATTCTCCTATGATGTGCCTCTGCCCAATGCTCTTTGGGGGAACGGGGTGAAGCCCATTATTTCGAGGGACCAGCACTCCCCTGCTGCTCATCAAACGGGGACAAAGATGTTAGCAAAGCATTTCTCTCCCTCAGCTAACAGGTCAGTTCAGGAGATACCACACATTACTGCCGATCAGTTTGTTGGGACGGTGGCGGACAGCTGTGGATTTGAAGAGGACAACGCCTGCAATAAACTGATTGCACAGATCTCAGGGGGCAGGAGCACCAAAAATGGGTCTTTCCTACCCTGCTGTTAAGGATGTAATAAAGCCGTGACACAAAACCTCATGAAAAAGGCTGTCAACAACTACTGCAGAACTGCAAACTCTATTCTTCAAACCCTAATTGTCAAGTCTCTGAGATTCCTCGCTCCTCCCTTCCACTACAGCCACACAGGAGGATGCGACAGCATTTGGTTCCTTGCAGTAATTCAGTGTCAGCTTCTCAGCAGAGCCTCTGCCTCCTTCAGTGCACAGGGTGTGGGCTGTGCCATGCACCACGGAAGGACCGCAGCGTGTCAGGTCCTCGCTGAAACTGGCTGATGGGGAGCAAGCTGAAGGCAGGTTTGGACAGGGGAGAAAGGACCACCTCCCAGGCTGCCAGGAGCCCCTTCAGGCAAAGCTTGCGTCAAGCCGCAGCTACAAAGGCTGGGTGCACTGCGTGTAGTGGCCACATCAACCACAGGGCTACCCATCCCACTCCCTGAAAACAGGGCTGGGATGGGGATACCTGCCCACCCCATCTGGGGATTCCTTCACCTTGTATAAGCACCAGTCAGCCAAGCTATGGCAGACGCAGCATTCGCTTCTTAGACTCATTGGAAAGAGTATCTGTATAAATGAGTTAAGTGTTGCTTAAGAGAATACAGTGATTTTGAACTTTGAGAATTGGGAAGGGGAAGATGATTGTTTGTGATCTGTGAAGTGCAAGATACAGATTTAGGGCGTGTCTTGCGAGTGACTTCCCAGAGCACTGCAGTGGGGTTTTATAGCAGATGACTTTTTCAGCACGAAGCCTAAAAGCCAAGGTGAGGTTTCTGTTCAGCATAGCACACACAAAGTACTTCCAATGTATGTGTAAGAGCCGATCATATTACCGACGGATTAGAGAGCTGAGCAGAGTCAAAATCTGTATATTATGGTATCACAAAGAGCATTATGAATTCTCAAGCCAAGTGTTCCTTAAAGGCTCAGGCAGACCACGCTGAAAGAAGCTGCTAGCACTTGCTTCTCACAGTCAAGTCCTCCAGTTCTTCAACCACACAACGATCACCATCTGTGGAAAACAATTTACTGCAAATATCAAGAAATGGGTAGGGAACACTGTAATTTGTCAAGTCTGCAAAGACTCGGAGGCAGGTCCAAACTGCAGAATTTGGGCTGGCCAAAATCTGGGAGAACGGCCTGAACAGTGCTACCGACAACATTGCTGAAATCTACAACTTGATGCTCAACAGAAACTGAAATAAAGGAATAAACAAACACAGTGACTACAAGCATTTACGAGATGCCACAAAGACAAATGTATTCTGTATGAAATGGAGTGCATTGTCCTTAAAATTAAAGCATTCCCATTGTTCTTTCCACAGAATGCACAAGACCTGCACTATCCCCAAGTCATCTACTCAACTGTGTCAGCAGCAGTGAGAAGAGATTTTACCAATGCAGATACCTTTCATCTCGAGTCAGCCTAACACGCCGAATGGGAAAAACGTGCAAAATTCAGATACATACCTGATCTACTAATCCTGTCAATCCTATCCATGCTGGGAGAAGAGATCCGGATTCGAGGGCTGCTCTGATTAGAGGATTCAGACCCCCCATCAGCGAAAGAGTCCTCAAGTGTGAAGAGTATTTCCTTCACGCATTTGTGACAGACGTTGTGCTGACACGGCAGGATCAGCGGGTGGGTGAACAGCTCCTTGCACGCTGGGCAGATGAGCTCTCTTTCAATACTCTTTGTGGCAACCTTCATGGCAGAAAGGGGGAACAACAGGAGCGAGTGCTGGAGGCGTGAGGGCTCGCTGCGTGTCGCGCCCGTGCATGCCCCCAAACCCCAGCCCTGCCGAGCGATGGTTGCAGGTGCTGCGAGGTGCTGCGAGGTGCTGCCCTGCTTATCGCCGCCAGCAGAGCTTTATTGAACACGGATGAAGGCAGTGGCAGCGCTCCTTCCAGGCCACACGCACAGGCGGCTGCCCTGCGCGGTTCAGCTCTGGGTCACGTCTGCATTGCAGGGGGAGGCAAGCCGAGGCGGGGAGCAGCCCGGGTGGCCACCTAGGGACCTGCTGAGCTGCAAGCCACCGTGTCGCCCCTCAGCAGCAGCCCCACTCGCCCGGCCGACAGCCCGAGCCCTGCACGCCTGCCCCCCGATGCCCGCAGTACCTCCAGCACCGACACCCCCCCACCCCCCCGCTGGCACCACGGGGGCCACCTGCTCTCGCTCGTCCCACCAAAAGTCAAAATAAACAAATAAATAAACGCACAAATAAATACACAAATAAATACATAAACAAATAAACGCGTCAAAGCCCCAGCCGCACAGCACGGGACGGGACGGGACGGGACGGAGGGGATGGGGGGGGGCACGGTGGCGACACGGCGACACCGCCGCCCCCCGCACCCGCACTCACCTCCGGCTCCGGCTCCGGCTCCAGCCCGTCGCCCTCCATTGCCGGCGCCTCCCTGTGCGGCTGTCGGGGCGCCGGGGAGGGCGGAGGCCGAGGAGAAGCGAAGGGAAGCGAAGGAGGGAGGGAGGGAAGGAGGGCGGCGGAGGGACGGAGGCCGCCCGCCCACTGCCGCCGAGCGGGGCGCGGCGCCGCACAATGGTGGGCGGGAGGCGGCGGCACCTGGAGCCGCGGGGGGCGGCCACGCCCGGCGGCAGCGGCCCGGCAGGGGGCAGGCGCGGCTCGGCTGGGCTCGGCCCCCTCCGCACGACCCCTGCCGTGTGGACACACGGCCGCGGCACCCCGACATTTGCCCGTTCACCTCGGGGTACAGCGCCCAGGGACCCCCCCACCTCGGCGGCAGAGCCCCCCGGGAGCACAGCGCCCTGTCCCGTCCCGTCCCGTCCCGTCCCGTCCCCACAGCCTGCCTCTCGCCTCAGCCGCACCCCGAGCGCGCCCCTTGCACCCACAGCTGGGCAAACAGGGCTCTGCGGTCCCCTCAGCCGCCTTGCCGAGGCTATTTCTGAGGCTCCAAGCTGAGGCGTGTGGTGTCCTTGCCCTGCACAAGCGGAGGTTCAGTCCATGCAAACAGGGGGACTGCAGCAATCTCCAGACGCTGCCCACTCAGCAAGCCCTAACCCTGACCCACGCGTTACTGCATAGCCTGCCTGAGAGGCCAGGCGCAAGGAGAAGAAGTTCGCTTCTGCTCTCAGAGTCGCACTTTGTGTCAGTCAGGAAAACGGGCTTGAAATCAGGCTCGCTTGGGTTCTGGTCGTTCATGGCGGCTTCAGCAGCCTGGCCGTGAGGTCTGAACGGAAAATTTCACTCTGGAGTTACGGAGCCAGAGGTGATCTTTTCACGTAGCCAGCACTACAAAGAACGTTATTTAGAGAACACACTTAAAAAATTTGATTTCACATTTAGTTTAGAACCAAATTCATCCAAGTAGATGGGTGCTCTCGCTATGATGGGCGCTGTGTGTATCCAGGCCGAAACGCGCCACCTAACCAGCGAGGGGGCAGAGCAGGCTGGCAGGGATGTGCTGGGCTGTCCGCCTCCCCACCGGGTTTTGTGCAGCCATCTGTGAGCTTGTGAGTAAAAATGTCATCCCCAAATCTCCGCTATTATCCCCAAATGTTACAGGCAGGCTTTAAAGGATGTTGCTTTTAAGAAGCCCTTTACTGCATTAGCACATTGCTCATTGCCGACACTGGACGTGGTCAACTTGGGTCCAAATGAGCAAACTCTCCTCCGCAGACCAGAATGAAGCCAGTTTGGCTCTGCTGCTGCCTTCAGGAGTGTCAGGGACTTTGCCTTGGGCCAGGAAAACCGCCCTGCTCCACATGCCAGTGGTGTGGTGCCAGCAAAGGCTGACATTAGGGCAGGCAGACCTGGGGCACGCGTTGGCTCCAGTCTCCCCGCAGCCCCGCAGGGGCATCCCCGTGCCAGCTGCTTTTACGGTCAGGACATGTGGGTGACTCTTCAATCCCCTGACAGATCGTTAAGGCATTAACTTGCTTGTGTCTGTTTGCTCTGGCTTCAGGGTACTTTAGAGCAGGATTTTAATTACCACCTCCTCCTACTCCACCACCATGTTAAGACATGTGCCAAAAGCTGCATTAGCACTGAGTTGCTGAGAGAAAAGGAGAACAGTTAGGGATCACTGGTAAGTTAAAGAAGTAAGAGCAGAAGCCACGGCCAGAAGGGACTCCTGCTCTTGGCCTCTGCGGAAGGGAATGGTCAGACCAGCGTGGCCACAGGTGTCGGCCCTGCTCGTCTGCTTTGCTTCCAGAGACACGCATGCATCAGCTGGACACCTCTTGTGCTAGCAAGGGCTTTCTTTTACACCAAGGAATCCCTGTAAAGAATGAAGGTGGCTCAGCCCATCCTGCAGAGCTCACTCCCACCCTCAGCTGGGGGGCCTGGCTGGGAGCTGCAGCTGAAACTGGAGGGGAGCAGGGGCTGTCACCCCTGTTCTGCCACCTCCCCGAGGTTGAATTCACTCGTTCATTTAACCAGGACTACCCAGCACTCTCCCATGCACTCATCTGCATTAATTATCAGTGCAATTCAAAGATGAGCAAAGTTTTCAGTTAGCTGGAAAAATCCCGCATTTCTCTGAAAGCATTTGGTCTGTGATCAGGGTCCTGCACTTTTTTTAAGCAGTACAGACCTGACCCAGAGAGCTCAGGACATCCTGGCAACGCCTTCACTGCCTTCAGCAGCCATGCTCAAAGTCACTACCAAATTTTCCAAGACAGTTTTGTTTGCACTACTTTTGCATCCTGCACTCGTCTCCTGAACTGAACCACTGTCTGGCTGGCAGGAGAGTCACACCACAGCACAGCCAATGTGTACACAGCAGAAACAAACAGGATGCCGTGTGAGACTTGTTCTCAGTTAGCTGAGAACAAGTTAGCTGAGAACAAGTTAGCTGAGAAGTTTTCACTTAGCTGGAAATTGAGACTGAGCACGAGAACATTTGGGGAAAGACTAAGGTAATAAGGTGATTAGTCTAAGGTGATTACATAAGGTAATTCAAGATGACACCTCCTGGGGTTTTCGAGAATTATGCAACAAAATAACCTTTTGGTTACCCAACTTTTCTTGGCTTAAGCAATTGTTTAGAGGAATATTGATCTTCTTTTTAATAGTAGTAGTTCCATTTTATGAATAACATACTGTGTTCTCTTGTTCCTTATCATGCAGAATCCTTTAGTGAATTTGTAGTGAAGAGAGATTGTTATTCTTACGTTTACAATATTACCCATTCTTAGATTCTTGCTCATAACAGATCTGTACTATAATATTTCTGCTGCTTTGTTTGTCAGAGTGAAGCTCCTGATTCTTCTTTCACTTAACAAAGTGGTTTTAGAGCATTGTGAATTATTTTTTGACAATCATATTTTACAGGATAGATTAAGTTTAGTAAAATAGCATGCCTTTTTATGTTGCTGCTTCTGGTCTCCCCTCACTTCAGCCTGGTGTTCTTGCTCCTAACTAAAACATTTCTTATACTTCAGTGTTGTGTATACAGTATTAACCTGCATTTTGTTTTTTAGTATGTTAATGAGGTTTTGAGACAGATTTCATTTATGTGTTTAATTTTGTTTGGAATTACATGAGCATTAAAGACAAAATGAAGCTTTTTCATTACAAAAAAGGAAAATGGATATCTATCTGCATCATATGCTTTCCCTTTTTGGCAAAGAAATATTTACCTATTTCTAGACACTTAACTAAAATGAGGTAAAAAGTCATAAAAGCTGTCTTTAATTGTACTGAAACAAAGCTGATCAGTTAACAACATTGTGCCAAGAATTTTCTTGAGGCATAGGTTCAGAATTTAACTATTTTTAAATGGTCATTATAGTCTGATAATTTTGCTAGTAAACTGAGAAATTGCAATGTCTGTAAAAGTGATTTGGCTCTGAAGTAACTGGTTTGTACATTTTTTTTCTTCAGTCCTATGATAATGGCTTGGCACAAGGAGCTGGACTGGAATCTCATGGTAAGAATGTTAAAATACTCTCTTTTTAAGACTGGAATTGTGAAATGCTGTAACAAGTTCAGGGTATGTCATGCCTTTCCTTCTTTTTCTAATTTTAAGGAAGTGGGATGAGGAGGAACAAATCTAGAACATGCCTCACCATACTATCTTCCTTCTTCTCTTAGTTTCTGCTTAATATCAGACCAGATAGACACTTGATATACCAGTTCTGATATTTTTACCTCATGAATGTTTTGTTGAAAGGTGTTAGGTCTCATGTCTTGATGACAGAGCAAACCTTTTCATCGTGTACCATTGCTACTCTGTGCATTTATCTGCATGAGATTTTATGCAATGCACCTGATAATCTCCAGTTTCAGCACCTCTTAGTTAAACCTAGAAGCATTTCCCCTGACAGACTGCACCACCCGCTGGAGGCTCAAATCTTGAAGACACACATTTTTGTAAAAAAGAGGTAACTTCGAAGATAGGAATTTCCAAGAGACTGATATTTTTAAGCAAAGTATTTTTCTATGCTATGAAGTAGTTGGTCTCTTCCTGACAAAGAAAGTTCTTACTTTTATGTGACTGATACTAAATCTCTCAGATGTTTGTTAGTTTTATCCTTGGAGTTGAAATTCTGAAGTATTCCAACTGTGTTCTTCCTGCAGGAAGGAAGACGTTGAAAAACTTAAACTATACCCCAACATACTTAACTAAATTACTGTAGAATGCTGATAACACATAGCATTATTTCAGTTACCCTTCCTGCATTTCAGCATTAGAAAGAAGATAACCTTACAGTTGCCTGTGGTCTTCTAGCACCGGAGTTGTATAAAGAACTTTGAGCCCTGAGTCATATATCAACATCTCTCCTACGTTCTTTCCCCGGGCTGTAACTTTATCATTGCAGATAATAGGCTCAGAATGAGTTTTAGTGGGTTTTAAAAAGTGATAGCAATGATGCACAAACAACATGAATTTCTCTTCCAATTGCTTACAGATTCCTTGACAACAAAAAATTTTGTAGAAACATAATTTGTGTTGGTGACAACCATGAGAATCCAGCAGTCTTTTCATCATATTAACCATGCCTTAATTTTTTCCTAATACTTCTGGGGCTTTCTGATCATCAGACACTTCTGGTTTTCTTCTCTTGGGCATTGTATCTGAAATTGCATTTGGCATTTCTGCTTCAGTTCAGTTGCTAGCTTCTCAATAGCTTTCTTGTGTAAGTTTAATATGAAGAAATGTTTTCTGCTGCATTTACTCATCCCCAGGCTGCTGTGTAATGTAAATTATGCAGCATTGAAAGCCTCCAAATTCAGTAAAATGAATTCAGGTTTATTTGTGCAAGAATTGTTTATTCGTTTGTTTGTTTCCTCAATATATGTACTGAAGTATTTTTATTTGTTTGGATTTTAGATGTAAAAGATGCTTTCATACTTGCAGAAATCTATTGATGAAATTGTCACTACTCTAATTGAAGTTCTGACTGAACAGGCTTCCCTGAAAAAGTGCTCATTAACAACCATTTCTTCACAGGTGGCTCTACATTTTGTGGTATTGCATCTCTGTGTTTGATGGGTAAATTGGAAGAAGTTTTTTCAGAAAAAGAACTGAACAGAATAAGAAGGTGGTGTATAATGAGACAACAGAATGGCTACCATGGACGACCCAACAAACCCGTAGACACTTGCTATTCCTTTTGGGTGGGCGCCACATTGAAGGTAGTGTACAAAACAGCCACAGGATAGTTCCTGTTTTGTCTTGGTTTCCTTAAACATCATACCATTTCAAAGAGTTACACCTTTGGCATCAGTGTGTAAATATTCACAGAATACTGTAAAGGTTTTATATCATGCAAGAACGCAGGATTTGGAGGTTTACCAGCTTAGTGCTCTATTGCACTGCTTATCTACATAGGTAGGCACTGTATTTTAGTATTAAAAATACACTAAGGTTTAGTATATTACTGTAACAGTCTACGTTCTTCTTTTCAGCTGTTGAACATATTCCAATACACAAATTTTGAGAAAAACCGAAATTACATCCTGTCAACTCAAGATCGCCTTGTTGGTGGATTTGCCAAGTGGCCAGATAGCCATCCAGGTATATTTACTTTTCAAAATCATGCAAGTGTATTAAAAGCTAGAAGTATGTTTCCAGCAGTCAGATATTTGAGAGGTGTAAGGGAAGTTTTTTCCTCAGTGTCTTTCAAAAAGTAAATTAAAAAAATATATAGTGGAATTTTCATGATTTAAAAGAAAGACAGGGGGTGTATTTTTTTCTTGTTGAACCACTGAGCAAGTGAGCTATTGTTTAGACTAACACTGAAAGAGTATCACTCTCTGTTCAGAGCTGGACAAGCCTTTCTGAATGTGTTTAACTGTTCCAATTAAGGAATGCATTGTACAATGGGTATCTTCATAAATGTTTTGATTAAAATATTTCAGACCATTCGCTTTCTTAATAAGGGAATCCCTTAAGCTTATGCAGAAGTCATTGATGTATTTAATCAACTTAAAGCATAGATTGTTATGATTTATATATTATAGTGACTCAGAAAGAAGTAGCATATCTGAAAGTCAATTATTGTTATCATCTTGCAATTGTGTAATTTGAAATAACAAAAAGCTTGAAAAGATAAAAAATCTTCTCATTTGAAATAATTTTGCAAGATGCTAGAGTGCAACAAAGGTATTGCAAAGTTGTAAAAGTTGGGCCAGTAATGTTGCTGAGTGGCATTTTGTACAGGGAAGATAAACAGCCTGTAAACTTAATAAACAAAAGAAAAATGTAGACGTAATAAAGGATGAGACCGTTTTGAATCTGTGCAGATATTTCATCCTTTCCTCACTTCACTTCACTTCACTTTGAGCAACAGTTGAGAATTTGTTGTGGTAGACCAAGACAATGTATGTGATAGATATGTTCCCCCTGTATCCCTGAAAACCTGCTTAGGTTTCCTGAGGACTAAATATATTTTTCCTACAGTAGGTAAATAGTATCACTTGGAGAAAATATTTCTGTTTATGTTGATGAACCATTTACTTAGCAGGCTAAGAAGAACGTACCTGCTTAAAATGCCAGTCATGTGCAAAGTTCCTTAACCCAGCTTTTAACATAGCTGTGATTGAGATACTTGAAAAAGGCAGGACTTCTTATAAAGCTGTTTTGCTTTGATTTGTGTGATGTTCCTGCTTGAACACTGCTGTTTCCTATATAACAAGTTTTTTCTATCTCTTACATTTTCTCATGAGAGTAAGCTCCTTTTGAATGTCCTTTTGAATAAGCTACTACTTGAACGTCCTGGCTGGTCACAGAAATGCAACACAAGGGTTAAAGTAGAGTAGTGATTAACTAGGTTGTTCTATGAACATACAGAAACTTTGCTGCTATTCCAGACTTTTTTTCTGGTTTGCTCTGACAATTCATACAACACATGTCTTATAAAATTGTCTATCTTCCTGGATTTTTTGGGGTGGTATTATGTTTGGTACCACTGAATTTAAGTGCTGCAGGAATTTTTCAGGGGCAGGGAAGATTTGCACTTTTGTGATAGGTAGGTTTATTACAGGATTCTTTCCTCAGGCAACTAGTGACTGTAAGTCTGTGTTCAAGTTTTGAAGGAAAGAAAAAAAAGCTAACTGCATCTTTAATCTGAAGAATGACTATAAATGCAGCAATGCAAATTTTTTTTTCTATGGATCTGTAATTTCAATGTCATATGTGCACAGTTAAGTTTCCTACAAGTTCAGTCTAGAAACTGGAAGGGAAGCTGTCTTTCTGAATGTTGTATGTCTGCCACAATTAAGATTTCACACTTTGCTAACATGAAGCATCTGTGCAGCTCTGTTGTTGTCAAAAGTTGGTGGTTAAGTGTACACACTCATGTTGACTTAATGTAAATTCAAAATGAGAAGGTAATGAGAATGGTATGAGTTATCTTGCAAACAAGTGAATACATCTGGTGAGGGTCAGTATGAAATAATTCACTCGCCTTGAAGTATTTAGAGTTTCTAAGTATTTGATAATAGTGGCTTCAATTTGTTTTTGTTACAAAACTCAGATGTGATACAACGTTCAGTAAGTAAGTAGTAAGAATGTGAGAATGTGCCAAGGAAAGGTTTTTATCTCATGAATCTTCTGGATATCACTGTAGTAGCATTATTACTGTTGTATAAAGGGGATATGGACACTGGCTTTCTAGGGAGATTCATAGTTCAAAACAGAATTGCATACCTACTGTATTTGCTCAGTTCTTTATTTACAACTGTCTGATAAACTTATTTGAACATAAGTTTATGTTCATATATGAGGCAGATGAAAGTGATATTTTCTTTTTTGAAAGTTTCATTCTTAGTAATTAGATTTGCTATCTGAGGTTAATGCCACTTGAAACAAACATTAAACCCCCAAATCCTACAGTTCTACAGAACTTTTCCTTTTTTGTACTGGGTCTGGTGGCTTTGATAAAGTTAATTTTCTTAGCAGTAGCCCGTATGATGCTGTGCTTTGGATTTGTGACCAACACAGTCCTGATAAGACATCAGTGTTTTAGATATTGCCAGACAGTGCTTACACAGCAGCAACAAGGTCTTCTCTGTTTCTCACACTATCCCTTACCATATGGCATCATACTCAGCAATAAAAGCTGGGGGAATGAGGAAGGGAAGACTGTGGCATTTCAGGTGTTTGTTTTCCCAAGCAACCCTTATGTATGATGAGCCCTGTTTTCCTGAAGTGGCTGAACACCTGCCTCCTGATGGGAAGTACTAAGTGAGTGCCTTGTTTTGCTTTACAGGCACATGCACCTTTGCATTACCAGTTGAAATTTTTATATCAGCCAGGGAGTTTTCTCACTTTTGCTCTTCTTTTCCTCTTCTCCCATTCTGCTGGAGGTGGAGGAGGGAAAGAGGGGGAGAAGCCATGTGATGCTTAGCTGCCTACCCAGGTTAAACTGCAACATTTTGCTAGAACATATACATAAACATATATTTTTTTAACTTGAGCATAAATCACTACTGGATTTAATAAACCTATAAACTTTTTTTTTAAGCTGCTAGATGCACCGCTGTATGCCCCAGGAAGTCATGCAGCAACTGTTATGCATCTTGTTTGTTATCTGTAAATGATAGGCAGTAGAAAAGAAATGGAAGCATGTATGAATTACACATGTTGAAAGAGAAGGATGAAAAGATTTAACATTAATAAAAAAAAGAGCAAGAAGTTGTAAATGTGTGCAATTACTAAATGTAAAACGCTAAAGTGAGTTTTTGCTGTCCTAGTGCATACACTTTGTTGTTTTCTATGCTTGTGAGTTGCTCATGAAACATTTGGGCAAACGTATTTCAGCAGTGAAAAAATGTGTTCTTTCATAGCTTGTAACAGAGTAGTACATAGACTCCATAATTGTGGTTTTTCTTTCTAGATTGTGAGTGTTAAGTTGGTATGGGTTTGCAGAACAGTTGAACTTCATAGCTAAACTCACCATGTACAGGTAACTAGGTTTGTATATGATTTTCAGTGCATTTATTACCTCCTGAAGCTGAGTTCACCTTGCCTAACTGCAGTGTTTTTAGTCAGCTGGGCAGCTGAGTTCTACCACAACTGCTATCTGACTACCCCTCCACAAAGGGAGAGGGGAAGAAAATACGATGCAAAGGTCTTAGGGGTTGAGAATAGGACAGGAAGATCATTCAACAATTATCATCACAGGCAAAACTGACTCAGCACAGGGAGATTAATAACATTTATTACGTATAGCTAACAATCTAGAGAAGTGAGAAAAAAGGGAAAGAAACTAAAACCACCCTCCCCTTCCACCCTCTCCCATCACCTTCCCCTGAGCAGCTCAGGGGAATGGGGCCTGCAGTGAGTCCCTGACTCTTCGTCTCTGCCGCTCCCTCAGGGTCCCTCTCTGCCTCTGCTCCCCGTGGACTCCCTCCCAGGGATGCCGTCCTTCCCCAACTGAGCCTGGGGGGCTGCCCACAGGCAGCAGCTCTTCAAGCACTGCTCCCACACGGCTCCGTCCCATGGGGTCCATCCATCCATCCCCCAGGAGCAAACTGCTCCAGCACGGGTCCCCCACAGGTGGGCGGCAGCTCAGTTTTTTTCCCCCTTTTCGTAAATCTGTTCTCCCAGAGGCCCTCCTGTCCTTGTAGTCAGATACGACTTCACTTACACGTTAGTAAAAGATTACTGCATGTTGAGAATTTTTAACGTACACATTAATTTGTTAATACTCTCCAAATGTAGTCTGTGATTTCTTGGTCAGATATTCCAATATTGGACGTGCTGTTGCACAGGGTGGGGAGGTTCACTTCTCTTCTTCCCAGCTGGCCCAAGTACAGGTGCATTCTCCTTTCATGTTTTTGCACTAACACTGGTGTATATTGAACCCTTCTGCAAAGCAGTTTCATTCACTAAAATGTCAGAAAACTGTCCGCTTACACTTGCTTATATGTTTCCTGAGTTGCTGTATGTCATGGAGGTTCAGCAAGCTTTAGTCCCTGTGTAAGGCAGGCATCAGCAGCAGAGTGGGGCAGGGGAAAGAACAGCTGTTAGTCATCTGTTACAGCTGATCAAGCCACTTAATGAATTCCTGTTCTTAGGATATTTGCTCAGGAAGCGGGGAAGATAGGTAAGTCTGCACTTCTAAGTCTTGCTGTCTGTCAGCTATTAGTATTTCTTTAGTCATCAGTCCACCACATAGCCAAAAAAAATCTTTCATATTTGGGGAAAAAACATTTGCTGTCTTGAAGGAAATTATTTCCAGCTCCTGAAACTCTTTGCTGTTTGGCCTGAGCACTCGGAAGTATAGTAATGGGCAAGAATTGTTATAAAATAAAAATGATTCTAGTCTTAGAGATCGTAGACCGTCAGTTCATGCTGGCAGGTTTGAGCAGAAATTGTTTTACTGTGGAAAATATCAAATTCAAAATGTAACAGCTGTGTGTTTTCCTTGGCTGTGATTATTCAGGGGGGCTGAAACCCAGAATACTTGACTGCTACAACTGAAAGACACACAATTCTATTTTTCATATTCTGTCCTCGTTTCAGATGCTTTACATGCCTACTTTGGGATCTGTGGCTTGTCGTTAATCGGAGAATCTGGCATCTGCAAAGTTCATCCTGCCCTGAATGTAAGCACAAGAACCTCAGAGCGCCTTCACCATCTTCACCAGATCTGGAAAACAAGGACTCTAAACAGTGTTCAGACAACACAGACATCTCTACATGACTGATTTACACTTGAATTTAGTTCTGGTAATATAATTGTAGCCCAAGGTTAAAAGCCATGTATAACCAACGTGCTCTTTTAAGTGCTGGAGTCATGCAATCAGATCTGTGTTGCTGGCGTCACTTTGATAGGGGATTATCTTCAGCAGGTTACTCTGCATTATGAAAAAGGGGATATTTTGATTATGTAGATGCTTGTAACCACAGACTGTAAATGGCTCTTCAAATGGCTTTATGTCTAAGAAATCCCTTGAGGCAATTAAACTTCATTTTTATTTTATTTTTTTAAATTTGTGCATACTGTGTCAAAATATATAATGGGAAAGTATTTTCAAAATCTGTTTACATATCATACAGTATAGCACAGAACCTTGGAGTTCTTTATGATCTTGATGTCTGACATATTTTTGGGTAGAGAATATTCCCATATTAAATCTCAGTTAAAAATTACCTTTTATCGTCTACTTCCAGATTCCATAAACTTTGTTAAAAAAATAAAATCAAGTAAATAAAATTATTTTATTCAATATACTGGACTTTCAAAGTTGTGTGGCATCACTAAATGAATTTCATGGTTCTCCTGGGTACCTTCTATACATATGCGGTGGATTGTTAGCCAAAGTGTTTTTATCTGAAATACCATCTTCATGGGATATTAATGTGTGTGGTGTTTTGATATATGGCATTATGCTCAAAATAAGCTGCTCTAAGTAAGTCTCTGCTGGCAGACAGACACAGTATTGATACTTTTCTGGCTGCGTGAGGAACACTGCATTTGATTATCCTGGAGCAAATCCATACTTGCAAAATCTTGAGCTGTGGCTCCTGAGTTTCACTGCCTGTTACCGTGTTCTCAATTCTAAAGAATAACAGGGTAGAGAACCAGAAGTCATGACACAACAGTGAAAAATCATATTCTGTGGAAAAACTAGTTGATTTCTCAGTGCAAGTAATTTAACCATGTTTTATAGGGCAAAAGCAACTAATTCTTCTTTTGTTTGTTTGTTTGTTTGTTTGTTGTTGTTTGTTGATCTGTCAGCTACTATGCCTATATGGCTTGTTAATATGTGTTTTACATTTCCCCTTGGGCCCCAGTTCTTCTAAAACTTTTTTTTTTTCCTGGCTAAATAGCAGCATCTTTCTCAGACTGAATGTTGACAGAAGTTTCCCTTTTCTAGAAACTGCAGGAGGCGTATTTGTTTCCCACTAACTCCCACTGTTTCTCAAGCCAGCAAACTGCTTACACCTCTCTGGTATAAACAGAATTTTTTGACTGCTTTGGAATCTTTAATCTTTTTTAAGTTGACAAAAATATGTGTTAATAACCAACTCTGCATGCATGATTTGCCATCCGACTCAACATCAAACAAGCAGGTGGTGGGCATTGAGTGTGCCTGTGGAGTGGCTGTTTTGATCCTGACTGACTTGTGTGGTTAACACTAGACTGCATTGCCTTTCACATTTTTGCAGTTACCATGTCTTCTGACTAGAAAATAATGAATGATAAGTTGATAGACAAAAAATTCATAGGTAATGACTTAAAATCCCTTTAAAAACTGAAGTTCAAATGCATGTAAACTTGTATGTGAAATGTAAAATGTAGCATAGCTACAAAAGCTATCCGTCAGATTACTTCCCACCTGTAACAATTTTGCATTAACCACAGCTTTACATTGCTGAGGCTGAACCTAAATAAGCAATTAATTACTTCAGTGACTTTAACATGTCCTTGAGGGTGTAAAATGTCTTGGCTATAAGGGCTTGCATTAATTATGTGGAACAGCTACATTGCCACAACCTTTTGATGTTCCAGCAGTGGTGTGGTACAACAGACCCACTCCTTTATTCTGCCTGCCTGTCAAGACTGTATTTATAAAATTAATGCCTTACGTAAACCTCATCAGCACTCAAAGCTCGGTGATGTTGGCTCAGCTGACAAATATATGTCAGCTGGATGCCCCTATCACTGATTGTTCACAAACAATGTCTTCAACTCCTGTTCTAGAAGAATAGCTTTGAAGTAGCTGGTTGAACGAGGGGAGTTAAATGCATCCTTTCAATAGGATCCGAGGACTGAGATTTTAAACATCATCATTAAGGCTTTCAGAGCAACTTTAATCTCTTGTACGTAGCTGCTGGCAGACATGATAGAACCACTTTGGAGAACTGTTGCTAAGTGTGTACATATTTATTTATGGGCTTTTCATCTAGAGAAAATTTGGTTCTAAATGGAACAATTACATGCTATGAAAAAAAATGACTAACAAGTAAATTGGACATTGGAGGAACATCTGAAGTATGTATGTGAAACGTAATAACAGGCTTCCTTGCTCTGTGTTCAGTGCCCCATAGCAAAGTAAAAGACAACCTAAAAGGAGCTGAAGAAGTTAAATACTCTGCTCTTAGTGGAAGCCAGTATCAAAAATGAAATATCACTTTGAAACAGTAGTGTCCCCAGAAAAATACATTTCAGCTTTGTAGCGAGTCCTTAGCCATTCTGTTCGGGGTTCCCTTGTGGTAGAGGGTGAAGGATTTGCAAAGTAAGAGCTATTGTGGACAGCTCAAGAAGAACTCTGATATTGGTAACTGATTTTGGTGCCACTGATGAGGTAGAAGATACGTTGTTGGGACATGAAAAAGAGAAAGAACCCCCAGGTAAGCAGATCCAACTGGAGCATCTAAAACACGAAACGTCTCTGAAATTCATCTGTTGAATGAGAATATTGGTCTGTTTTGGTTAGTGTTAAATACTGCAGTCCTGAAAAATTCTCGGTTTGCTATTGCAAGTAGTCACCATTTAAGCAGTTCCTCTCACTTTCAGCAATTGCAGGGTGAAACAGAGTAAGTGTCACTATCTCTATACTAAATGACTACTAAATCACTCTACCAAGTGATAGCAGTACACTATGGAATTACACTTTCAACACACTGTTCTAAAGTTTGTCTTACTTGTCTCTATTTGTCCAATTAGTTTCTGAATTCAATAAAAATCAATGACCTGTTGCTTTGTGAAACAGGAAAAACTCATGTTGGTGGGTTTTTCCAAACCAGTCACATGCTCTGAGTGACGACTGCCCACACAGCACCTTCTTCTGGGCACTGAACGTGAAAATGTCCAGAGGCTTTCAAGTTGCACCACCAAGGGCAGCAAAAATCCCACACTACCTTAGTTTCTGAAGCACTGGCAAAACACCTTGTTTGACCACTGAAGTGTGTGACCACCCTTTAAAATGTACTTTTGTAGGTACAGATCCCGTACTTAGGGACAGGATAAAAATAATTACTATTGCTGGAGAATGCGCAGGATCCCAAGGAAGGAAGAAGCTCTGTCTCAACAAAAACGAGAAGTTCGTCAAGGAAGAGAAAATCTAGATGAGAACAATCTGCAGCAGCAATCTGAGAATTTCAAAATGTGGCTGGGAGGGGAAAGGTTTGTGGTGAGGACATTGCGCTCGACTTGCCAGATTAGGCTGTTTATGTTAAGCTCGCAAGGGAAAGGAGGGAGATGTGTCTATATAGAGAAGCTTGTGTTTTGGCAGCCGTGTATTCATGCAAAGGTGGCTTCTGTGTTAACTCATAGTGTTAACACAGTTGTGGTGACAACTGGGCTCCTGTTATCAAGGACCAGGAGGCTGCCCTGTGTCCTGCTAAACAACCACTTTGTGAGCTAGCAATGACAGAGTTCAAATACCCTTGTGAGATAGCCTGGAGGCCTTCATGAAGCTAATTCTGCAAGAGCCGTCGCTGAATTTCATCCGGATCTCTCCCCTCGTCCCCTTTGATACAGCACATGTTACACAGGCTCTGCCTTATCCCTTTTTTATGGGGAATCAGCAAAAGGGATGACTTTGCAGGAAAATGACAGAAGAGAAATCAAGACACAGCTTTTCACTGTTCATCACCTCGGTGTTTGTGGAAAAGGAGTGGTGCTTATGCTGCCTGGAAAGCCAAATATGCTGGAACGCTGCTAAAATTGCATGCTGCCCCTGGGTAATTTGAAGGTTTTCCTAAGCACAGAGCTATATTTGTTTGGTGTTGTGCTGCCCATTTAGCAACTTTCTTTAAATCATGACCATGCCTTACAAAAACAGGCTCACTTTACAAAACTACGTTTTAATCTTGAGCCCAGCCTTTTTACTGCTTATTATAACATTTCCATAAAAACCTTATTCAACTTCAAACTTATTTTGGAGGAGCATTGCCCTGAAAGGCATCTCTGTAAACCTATTGCCCTGGGGAAGCTGTGGAGTTTTCAGTGAGGCTGTCCTTTCACATCAGGTCAGACTAAGCCAAGAATGACACAGGGACAGCTTATCCTGCCTCAGGACAGTTTGGTGTACTCTTAAGGACCCTCCTGGCCTATTTTTTTACCAAAACAAGTTATTCAGTGCTGCTTCAACACACTAATTTTTTGCTGGTAAGACTTAAAATACTGAACTGCAAGGTACATAGATGAGTGGGGGATGTTTCTGTAAATAATATGAAGATAATCTAAAGAAAATCAGAAGTTTTGGAAGAACTGAGCACATTTGCACACCAGCCTTTGTGCTCACACGTTACAGATCAGCAGCCCCCGGGCAGTGCTGCCTGCCCAGCATCCTTCTGATGGTGCAGCCAAGGGCAAGATCCTGCCAGAGATGTGTCTGGATGAGGTTTTCCAACACGATCACTGGACTTTTCTTTATTTTTGTGTATGTCTCTCTATATGGCTTGAAGTGTATGGCCAGGCAGCACACATCCTGCAGTGTTGATAAAAAATGCCCTCTGTGGCTCCCCAGATGCTATAGATAGCTTCATACGCAGGCCGTGGAAACAACCTTACTGGTTGTTTCCAGTACTGTTACTGCTACCAAACCTTTCTGATGGCTCCGTGCCCTGACTTTTGTTTTCACTGTACATAGCCCCAGCCTTGACCAACTTCCTCTTGCAGAATCTGGCACTGCTGGTAGTAGTAGGGCCTGTGACAGCAGACATAAACCATCTCTTGGTAGGAAGGCTGCTGTGTAGGTGGTGACCCCAGCAAGCACCAGAGCCTGCTCCATGCCCTGTGGTGTGCGCTCTTAGCATGCTTCTCCCCCTGTTCTGGGTGCCCCTTGTCCTTCATCAGGCCTTAGGGCTTTAGCCCTCACTATTGCAGGCTTTCACACACCTTGTGTGACTCCAAGTCATGGTTCCCAAGCTCCAGAACAGGGGGGGTGTTTACAGGTCCCCGTACAAAGCAAAGGAAAACACACTGATTTTGGCTGTGGCAGAAACCCGAGCAGACGCACAGTAATATTTGGGATATTACGTGGCATGTAGTCCCCAGGGAGGGCAGCTTTTTAAGCTAAGGACTCCATGGGCTATGAGGAGCAAGCGTTCCCACGATCTCCCTGCTATAAAAGGATATTAAATTCTGCAGCAGCTGCTGATCTGGTAGCCCGTCTGGGCTGGAGCCCCCCTCCTGTCCCCTTCCTGGCTGGCCAGCCTGCTGCAGCTACCCATGGGCCTGCTTCTGCCTCTGGACAAGCTGAGCCTCGAGGTGAGTTTTGATGCCAGCTAGATTTGGAGCGAGCAGAAACACAGTGAAGGAAGTCTCATTTTTTTTATTTTATTTTATTTTATTTTATTTTATTTTATTTTATTTTATTTTATTTTATTTTATTTTATTTTATTTTATTTTATTTTATTTTATTTTATTTTATTTTATTTTATTTTATTTTATTATTTATTTTAATTTTTTTGCCTGTCAGAAATAAATGCTCTGATGTCAGCCACTGGTGGAAGTCTGTGCACTGCACTAGTAAGGGAAGACCTCAATCAGGAGCAGATTATTCTTGATTAATTTAAACTGGGGGAGCGGGAATCACACCAGACAAAGACGTCCTTTTCACCAACATAGTTTATTTTGCCTGGCACGGCTCTACATGAAGACAGCATAAAGGTAACAAATAAGGCAATATTTCTAACTAGTGGGAGAAAGGTTTTTCTGGTCTTTAACCATTTTGAAATCCTGGGCTGGGCGCTGTCTGGGGAGGACTCTGGGAGGAGCCACCCCTGGCAGAGCAATGTGCTTTTGACTTTCCTCTATTCACGGCAAGGCAAAGCAAGTGGGGCAACGTGTAAGTTGTGCCTTACAGCTGAACCAGAGGGAAACCCGCTCCCCTCGGTCAGGCTGCTGCAGTGCAGAGGCCTCTTTAAACATGCCACGGAGAACTGCTTAAGACATCAAGTCAAAGGAACGAACCTTTAGGAGCTATAGGGTAGCACATTAAAGCAGATGTCTGCCCATGGTTGGGCCCACAGTCCCACCAGGAGGGGCTGTGCTTCTGCAGATCTGTGTGACAGGACCTTTCTGTGGTGACCAGGTTTGTGGTGCCTCGCTCTGCCCTGCAGAACATCCTCCAGAGGACCTGCCGAGCTATCTTACTGCATGGTCTCAGCTCGTCATGGTGCTCTGCTTGCACTTGCACTTGGGGAACAAGCCAGAAGCGGGAGGCTTGGCCTCACACAGTCCCTGCCCAGCCCTGGCATCTGTCTCGCAGCTGGGGCTGGAGCTGCTCTCCCCCGTCCCCTGTGTGCTCCTCACAGCAGGACCAGGGAGCAGGAGAGTGACTGCTCTTCAGTGCTGACCCTTGGCTTTCTGTCAATACAACCGGAACATTTTGCCTTGCTGTGACTTCAGACAACCTCCCGCCAGTGGCATTTTAGGCCTTTAGCTCAGCACTGCCCATCCCTGTATACTGATTCAAAGATCGAAGCCGAAATTCCTTTAAGTGGTATATTCTTTATTGCAGCGCTGGATGCACGGGGGATCTCTCCACCTATCGTGCATACCCAGAGCGGAAAGCAGTCTTGAATTTATACGATCAATCTATCAATATTCTACAAGCGCCTATACATATGCATTACCTATCCCCGCCTTCCCTCGCTTCTCATGCTAATTAGCCTTTTGGCACCTTGCGCCTGCGTAGGGCCTTCCAACAATTGTGGGCAGGGGTCTTTGGGACGTGGGCAGGGGTCTCTGGGAGGAAGACCCCGAGTCTTCCTCACAGTGTACTTTTCACCTTTGGTCAGGAATCTGCTGAATTGGCACGTTTCTTAATTGCGAGAGCTGGTTGTTGCCAATTCTTCCGTTTGTTGTATCTTTATAATGAATTCCAATGTCCAGTTTTGAGATTTATAGTCCTTACATTTGTTTCTCTGTCCGTCTGCCGCTTCCTTATCATGAGTTCCAGTGTCTTGTTTCGAGATACACAGTCCATGTCTGGGGATTGTCCTTGCCTCCCCAATGCCTCCCCAATGCCTCCCCAATACCTCCTTAATCAATCCCCCCTTTTCTTTTCCCATGCAAATTCTTTTGCATCAGATACTTTCATTATATACAGTAACACAACAAAGCAGGCATCTAAACAACATGCACACAAATATTCCTAACACTACTAATGTGATTAGAGCAATGAACACTTGTTTCAACCATTGGAAGTTGGGCAACCAGGAGGTTAACTTATTCCATATTTCACTAAAACTCCATGAAAGATCATCTTTACTGATCTCAGGTAGGACCCTTGTCTGCTTCCATATTTCTTCCAGGTCGGTAGAGATCCTTCCACTCTGATCTACATACATACAACAACTTGTATTTATTACTGTACAGACTCCCCCTTGAGCGGCCAGTAACAAGTCTAGGGCCATCCGATTTTGTAATACTACCTGTGATAAACTAGATATCTCTTCTTGTTGAGCCTTTATAGCATCCAGAGTTTTGTTTTCTAACTTCTCTATAATTGCAGAAATATTAACTATTGCCTTTTCCAATTCACTCACTCCTAACCATGTGATAAACCATCGAACAAAACTATGAAAAGCAGTGTGTCTCTTTATCAATGGATTGTTAATTTTTGTCTGATTCTCCAGATATGATTTCTCAAGTAACCTCGAGGCACTACATCATGTACTGTCATACTGGGGACTACTGCTCCAAGATCCAGTTCTCGGGCAAGACCTTACGGGCTGTATCATTGCATAGCCAATACCACCCTTTTCCTTCTGGAACTGGCCAGCTGGTTGAATTTGCCCAACTGCTAGTTGTACTAATATCAATTGTTTGATTACAAGATGTCTGATTTCCCACATAAGTAGTACCCGTATTTATACAATCCTGTTTTCCCATACCCTTAGGCGGGTTACACCTTTGTACACATACATAGTAAGATTCCAATGGCACAAAGCTACTAACTTCTAGTTCCAAAACTTCTTCATATTTTTTTGACCCCAAGATGTGTTTTCCCACAAATTAGTCCAAGATAAGTTTGCAGGCAAGGGAATCCTGATTAACGATACACCCTTATTCCCATGCTGTGGCAGATGGGTGCATACCCAACAGTTCATCTTATTAATCACTTGAGATACAGTTTGTATTAAGGTCAGGTGTAAGTTCCCGTCCCAAGTTGCCCATCCCAAATCTGACAACCATACCCCCACAATCATTAGGATCTGGAAAAACGCAATTTTGCTGGTCCAATTGGGGTCGTGGTCCATATCCTCGCCAGGGCCTTCTTCACCCTTGAATCGTGGATCCAAGCTGCTTGCTCCTTAATCTTAATGGCGGTGTGTGTTGTCAGTAATACCTGGTATGGTCCCGTCCACTTTCCTTCCGTTTTTCCTCTAGGGGTTGTCCTGAAAAAGTCTTTATATATATAATCCCTGAGCTTAAAAGGGTGGATTGGTTGATCCAACCGTCTAGCCCAGGTCCTGAGAACAAATTTATGTACTTTATTTAATTATTTCTGAAGTTCAGTTATATATGCATATAAATATTCTAATCCTAACTGCGTTCGATCCTTTCCACTAAATAGAAATGGATACGGCCTTCCATATAAGATTTTAAAGGGACTCAAATTCCCTTTTATTCTAAGCCATGTCAAATTAGAGGGTATTATTATGTGGTTATCTTTTAAATATACTCGTCCATCTGGTTTCATTTTACCTTTCAAATCTTCAATTAATTTTAAGTCTTCTTTTGTATAATTTGGATATAGTTTGGATTTTACCGTCTGGTATCAAAGACAATGCCTTCACCTCAGTTATTTCAGCTGCCCGCTCAGCCTTTGCCAATCGATTTCCAATTTCAAAATCGGTGTTCCACTTTTGGTGTCCCTGACAATGCATGATAGCTACCTTTTCTGGTTGTTTTACAGCCTCTAACAATTTTAAAATTTCTTCTTTCCAAATTGGTCCATGAGCATGTACCATGCCGAATGTATATTTAGAATCTGTCCAAATATTTATTTTCCTTCCTGCTGCTAGTTCCAGTGCTCGCATAAGAGCAATTGTCTCTGCTTTCTGGGTGGACGTCCCAGGGGGTAATGGTTTGGACTTGATTACCTGTTGAGTGGTTGTAATGGCGTACCCTGCCTTACGTTGTCCTTGTTTCACAAAGCTGCTTCCATCAGTATACCAAGATTCGTCAGCATCTTCTAAAAGTTCTTCCTTAAGATCGGGTCGATTAGAATACACAGTCTCCATTGTTTCTATACAATCATGGGTTATGGGTTGATCCAGAGTTCCACTAAGGAAGGAAGCTGGATTTACGATGTTAATGACCACAATTCCCACATCATCTTGTTCTACTAATATTGCTTGATATTTTAAAATCATCAATTCTTGTTTAAGTTGCTTAAAGACTTTTTGTGCTTCTCCAGTCCAGACTAACTTTGACTGGTTAATCTTTATCAATTCACATAGAGGCTTTACCAATCGTCCATAATTATAAATCCAAAGGCGACACCAACCTGTCATTCCTAAAAAGGTTTGTAGCTCCTTTACCGTTTGAGGTTCTGGAGTCCGGCAAATGACTTCCTTATGTTCAGTTCCTAGTTCTCGTTGTCCTCCCGAAATTTCAAATCCCAGATAGGTCACACTTTGTTGAGCCAGCTGGACTTTCTGTCAAGAGACTTGATATCCATTTTAAACCCAGAAAATTAAGAAAACTTATAGTCCATTGAATACAGCTCCCTTTAGTCTCGGTAGCTATTAAGAGATCATCTACATATTGTAACAAAGCACCTTCAGTGTCTGGAGGCATCCATGTTTCGAGTTCCCTTGCTAATTGGTTTCCAAAAACAGTGGGGCTATTCTTGAATCCTTGAGGTAGTAATGTCCACGTAAGCTGCGTCTTTCTGCCTGAATTGGGATTTTCCCATTCAAAGGCAAATAGGTTTTGGCTTTCTGTGGCTAAGCCTAGGCAGAAGAAGGCGTCTTTTAAATCCAGTACGGTAAACCAGACTTGACTATTCTTTAATTTAGTCGGCAAAGTATAAGGGTTTGCCACTACTGGATGTATATCCTCAGTGATTTTACTTATGGCCCTCAAATCCTGAACTAACCTATAGCTTTTTCATCTGCCTTTTTAATTGGCAATATGGGTGTATTGTATTCTGATTCACATTCAATCAATAATCCATACTGTAAAAATTTATCAATTATCTCTTTAATTCCTTTCCTATCTTCTATCCTCAAAGGATATTACTTAACCTTAACGGGTTTCTCTCCTGGTTTTAATTTAATAATTATTAAGGTCACATTTTTAGCTCTTCCAGGGACTTCGGTAGCCCAAACTCCTGGACATATTGATCTGTGATCTCTAAAGGTATTTCACTTTTAGGGTCAGTTTGTATTAGTGCCAAGCTTAACACATTTATTAGTTGTTCTTCTCCTATTCTTAATTTCATTTTCCCTTTTTCAACGACAGTTTCTGCTCCTAATTGCTCTAATAAATCTCTACCTAAGGGTGCCCATGAGGAGTTAGGCGTATATAAAAATCTGTGTATGCCCCATTGTTTCCCTAACTTGTACTTCAAAGGTTCACAAAAATAAGCCTTTTCGGTTACACCTTGTCCTGGTTTCAGTTAGGACAGAGTTAATTTTCTTCCTAGTAGCTGGTAGAATGCTACGTTTTGGCTTAGGATGAGAAGAGTGTTGATAACACCCTGATGTTTTAATTGTTGCAGAGCAGTGCTTATACCAAGCCAAGGACATCTCAGCTTCTTGCTCTGTCCTGCCAACAGGCAGGCTGGGGTTGCAGTAAGAGCTGGGAAGGGACAGACCCAGGACAGGTGACCCAAACTAGCCAAAGGGGTATTCCATACCATCTGACGTCATGCTAAACAATACATAGGGGTGGCTAGCCGGGGGGAGGGGGCCGGACTGCTCTCGGGGTTAGGCTGGGCATTGGTCAGCGGGTGGTGAGCAATTGCATTGTGCATCACTCGTTTGTACACATTATTAGTAGTGGTACTATTATCATCATTGTATTATTACTATTATTATTATTATTATTTTGTCTTATTAAACTGTCTTTATCTCAACTCACGGGCTTCACTTTCCATTTCTCTCCCCCGTCCCAGAGAGGGAGGGGGAAGGTGAGCGAACGGCTGCGTGGTGTTTAGCTGCCAGCCGGGTCAAACCACAACACACCTTTTACCCTAACATAATAATTCTGTGAAGGCATTAATGCTTGATTTAGAACTGAATACGTTGCCCCATATCAATAAGAAATTTCACTTCCATTCCTCCCCTAGCTTCATTATAATCAGTGGAGGATCCGCTAGGATAGATTCCCCAGGTCCCCGTTATTCCTGTTGAAATCAGGGACCAATGATTACCCTAGAAAAAGGCTAGTCAATTTGTCCTCCGAAGCCAGGTCCAAACCGTTTTGTTTTATTTATTTATTTATTTATTTTCATTACATTTCAGAGTTGGTCCAAAAATTCCATAGGGGTTTCTTTTAGACCTTGTTGGAAGCATATTCTCAATTCCCAATTCATCCAGATTTTAGTATTTACTTAGCCGTTCATAATTTTAGGGATGATTAGGGTCTCAGTGGGGTCGGTCAGGGGAATGCAGTTGTCCACAGTTCCCTGAGCGGTCCCATCGGTAATCTGAGCTCGCACATGAACTCAGGTTGTTTTAAGAGTTAACTGTTTTTCTGTTTCCATAACAACTCTCTCTCGGACCCATCATGATCCATTTGCCCCAAAGGGCTAACACCCATGATTTTAAGATCTCTGCCTAGAGCAGAGGCAGAACTATTAACATTCCTACATCCTCTTTCCCTGCTCATTCAACTTCAAACACCTTTAACACTTTCAACAACCCTTTTAACACTTCCTTTATCTTTCTCCAGCCTGTACTTCTCTAATGCCAACATCAAAGGCTCAGTCAGGGGCCAACTTAATTCCGTACCTTTTCCCACCAAGATGCTGAAACAACATCAGTATACAACATTTCATCCTATTCTCCTTCTCAAAACCAACATTAACTGTAGCAAAACATTAGAGTTTAAAGTTCCATTTAGGGGCCACTTTTCTCCACATTCCAGCTTATAAAGCGGCCACCATTGATTACAATATTTTATCAATGTTTTCCTGTTCACACTTCCACCGGCAGATCCTCCAATATCCTTCCAGTGACTCAAAACACATCCTAACGCACTTTTCTTAGGAATTTCAGTGCTTACTCGCCCCCCCATTTTCCAGTTTACACTTTCAGAATACACGTGTTACTTACAAAAGCGTATCACAAAAACGTATCACTCACAAAATTACAGGCACGCAATATCTTTCAGTAGCGATGTCACAAAGCTACTATTACCAGCAATATTGCTAAAATCACAATAACAATAGTCAGAGTCAAATTCCACATGCGATAAGTCAGAAAACCGAACTGTGTAACACCATAACGATATCTTTCTTATAACAATGCCACGAACCTACTATTACCACCAGAAAAATAGCCAAAATCACAGTAACAATAACCAGAGTTAAATACCATACTCCATGAGTCAGAAAACCGAAATAAACAACACAATTCCAGATGGACCTTAAAGCGAGCTCTTTCCTTAAGGTCCCCAAATATACTTATGGTGCTTACCACAAAGTATATACCAAACACTGCCTCGCAGAAGATCACCTTCTGACTTACAGACAGTTCCAGATACAGATGGACCTCAAGGTCCCCAAATATACTTGTGGTACTAACCACAAAGTATATACCAAACACTGTCCTGCAGAAGTCACCTTCCGACTTACTGGACAGTCCCAGACGACCGGTCTACCAGAAAACCAAACCAGAATAAAGAATATACTCACTTACAATGATGGGGTCCTTGTCTGCCTCCGCAGTGATCCGGTGAGTCGAGGAGTCCCTCCGGGAAATCCCGGGGGTACCCTAGGGAGTCCTGTCCCCAGCGGGTCCTGCGGACCGGCAGAGAGGTCGTCCCATCTGGGTCGCCAGATTGATTCAAAGATCGAAGCCGAAATTCCTTTAAGTGGTATATTCTTTATTGCAGCGCTGGATGCACGGGGGATCTCTCCACCTATCGTGCATACCCAGAGCGGAAAGCAGTCTTGAATTTATACGATCAATCTATCAATATTCTACAAGCGCCTATACATATGCATTACCTATCCCCGCCTTCCCTCGCTTCTCATGCTAATTAGCCTTTTGGCACCTTGCGCCTGCGTAGGGCCTTCCAACAATTGTGGGCAGGGGTCTTTGGGACGTGGGCAGGGGTCTCTGGGAGGAAGACCCCGAGTCTTCCTCACAGTGTACTTTTCACCTTTGGTCAGGAATCTGCTGAATTGGCACGTTTCTTAATTGCGAGAGCTGGTTGTTGCCAATTCTTCCGTTTGTTGTATCTTTATAATGAATTCCAATGTCCAGTTTTGAGATTTATAGTCCTTACATTTGTTTCTCTGTCCGTCTGCCGCTTCCTTATCATGAGTTCCAGTGTCTTGTTTCGAGATACACAGTCCATGTCTGGGGATTGTCCTTGCCTCCCCAATGCCTCCCCAATGCCTCCCCAATACCTCCTTAATCAATACACATGAGCAAACTACGCTGGTGCTGTAAGCAGGTGGCAGGGCCTGGCCGGGAGGACCTCAGGTGCCTGCGGGACAGGCAAGGAAAGGGACACGGCAACCCTGGCCTGGTGCAAAGTGGGGACGGGCAGCAGGTATCCAGCAGGCCTCAGGGCCTGCACAGATGTGCAAAGCCACTCCACAGTGAAACTGAACCCACTGTCAGGAGGGATTAAAGATTGGTAAAAGCAAAGGGCAGAGTCATTGAATGAACACAGGGCACGCTACTCTGTGAAAGGAAAGTTAGCTCCAACCCAACCCTGGCATAGTTAAGTGTCAGAGCACAGCTGCTGCCTTCAAACCCTGGGCACACAAATTGGACGAGCTCTGCAAAGAGATGTGATATGCTCTGAAGGCCAGCTGAGTCTGAAAAGCTTTCAGGGCTCTGCCCCCTCCTCAGTGCCTGCACTGTTTCAGACATGTCCCCTCCCTATCACATGCAAAATTACTGAAATATGCATCGCTGCATTTGTATGCAGAGATTGGTAGGGCTCATCTTTCCCGTATCTTCACCCAATTTCCATGTCTCTGATTTAATTAGACAAACTCTTTTAAGTAAATCAATAGGCTCAGTAAATTAGCAGGCTCAAGCCTGCTGTTTTACTCAATATTTGTTAAAACTCCACATATACACAAAATTCTCGTTACATTGTCAAACTTGATTAACTGTAGTTGTAGCAAAAAATGGCAATTGCATTATATATTCATGGTATGTATCATTATGTACTTTAGCTGATTCCTTATAAATATATAATAACATACTCAATACATTAAATATTAATAATAATCTACGTACTTAACCCATATTTCTTAAATAAGCTTTTTCCCAGGGGTGTGTGATATTGTGTTAGAGTCATATGGGAAAGTCTAGATGAAATCATACATAAAAATAAATTTTCATGTGGCATGGATGCATTTTTAGCTCTGTGCTTTATTTTGTGTGTTTGTACCTGAAAAGTATTGGATAGAGATGTTCATGGTATTTGAATGGAGCTCTCTAAATGGAGCATTGCCATTTAGAGCCTAGAAGTAGATACCTACCTGTACCTATATCTAGGTATCTGTATAGATAGATGTAGAGAGATATATATCTGATACAGATTTATTATACCTGTAGATACCTAAAGGTGACAAAAAGTCTGAACACAAGCTGCAGCTGCTCTCTGTTGAACATAGCAGAACAAAACATCTGGCTCCAAAACGTTGTGGATTTGAAATTCACATTTTAATTTTACTAAATTTGCCTTAGCCAGAGGACTTGCAGCCAGAAGTAAAGGAAATGTGAGGTACAGGCTGAGGGTGAGACTGGTTATTTTGGCCATCAATGATGGACAACATCACACTTAGCCTCAGAGCAGCTGCAGAACTGTCTCAGTATCTGTGTGGCTTGTTGCTGTTTGTGTGCTATATTCAGTGCTACATGTTTAGCGATCTTTTGGGGTTTGCCAGTATCTATCAGAATGAGGTATGCAAAACTCAGTAAAACTCTGTTTCAGACTGTGTTGGTGGGGAATAAAAATCAGATCACTAAGGAAGTCTAGACTGGAGACGTGAAGGAGGCAAAATCACATTCCCCAACATGAAGCATGGATGTGAATAGTCAGCTGCAGTGTGGAAAGGGATCTGGGGATTCCCAGGAATCACAGACTCGCTCCAGACCCAGAGCAGGGGCCATTAACACTGGTGTCAGAGAGTGGGGCAGGAGTTTGTCTTCTTGGGGTGGCTTCGGTGGAACCTCAGCTGAACACAGAATGGATGCAGAAGCAGACAGCTCCCTGACTGCTTACTAAAAGGCTTACATGGGGTTTATCCTCAGAGCAATGAAGGTGGGAATGGAAACAACCCTGTGGTCCCAAACAGAACTAGTAGGGATGGGTTTTGTTGCAGAGAGAGCTTTAGATCTGCATGCAGGTACTGCAAGCTTTGAAATACAATTTGGTCACATTTGTCCTGCTTGCAAAATCTTTCCAATCATCAGGTCTCATCTGTTTCAAGGCAATTTTTCTTCTTCTTCGCAACAGTTCCCGTCAACATTACTCCCCATGGAAGGAAACAGTTTACATAAAATTCATAAACTATTTACAGAAAATCTCTTCATTATTACTCAATTCGGACGTAGGCCTCTAAAAATTGTTAGGAGAATTAATGCACGCCATAGTCCTTACCACAGGCAGACATCCCTGGATATTCATGTTTTGTGTTTTGTTTTTTCATGATTTCAAATGTTTGCCCAAATGTACACTTTAACACTGATGTAGGTCCTAGTGAATGTCGGCACACTTTTCCACTACCTATTACATCATCTTTCTTGCCATCGCTGATGTTGACACTGCTGGTGACATCTGAGTCCTCTGAGATGGCAATGCACCTACACAGATCCATTTCCCCCATGAATACTGTAAAATAGAAGCACAGCACTTTGTATCTCCTTAGTACTGAAATATTTGTATTAGCCCCTTCTGTATGGCCACCTGCAGCTGGTTTCAAACCCACCTTTGAGTAGATTTCCTCAGGTCACGATGGCCAACAACTTCACATGTGGCATGCAGCAGGGCAAGGCCCCTCCTGAGGGTGATACTGGATTGCTACCACAGGTGTATGTTTGAGTGTATCATCTGTACTGTGTAAATGGGAAAACACTTTACAATCCTGGGCGAGCAAAAAGAATATAGTGTGCAGATTTAGTTAGGAATTAGAAACTTAGATGGAGGACATCAACCAGAAAATCTAGAGCTGTCACTGCTGTCCTGGGAGAATCAATGTAATTCACAGGTCAGGAAACATAAATTTCCTTTACAATTTATTTTCTGCATTAGTGTGTCAAGGCAAAGCATTGTGCCGTGTAACATTTCAGGATAAGAATGCAGGACCAGATTTTCCACTGGTATAAAACAATCAGTGCATAATTGGGCCAAGGATCCTTGCTTTTTTGGAGACACTTCCAGTTTAAGTGATATGAAGGAAATTAAATCATTCTACTGATTCATTTCAAGAAACATGAAGTGTTCTGACGTTGATAATTTCCTGATCACCAAAGTTTTGGATGCATTTTTGGGTGTCGATGTTCCATAGAAAGGAACCAACCTGAGACAGAAAACTGGGGGAGGAATAGCAGAGAAAGCAAATTCATACCAGCGATTTATGCGGAGCAGGTGAGGCATTCCCCACTATTTCTGCCGTACAGCCTACCTTGCAAAGGTTGCGTGAAACACAGCAACCAGATACCAAGTGGGGCTAAAGCCCCTGGGCCACCAGCTGCAACAACATGAGGCTTCTCCACCTGTCCCCGGCCTTCCAAGCACACATTCCTCTGTCAGCCTGCAGCCGCTTGAGATAAAGGCTGGTGCAAACTTTCCTCTGTCCTGGGGGAGGTAGATGGGACCCCTCGGGGTGGCCAGGAGAATCGATACCTGCTGCAGGGAGCAGTCCCAAACCCCTGGCCAGTCTAGATCTGTGGGGATAGCTCATGTGAGTGATACCGACCCATCCATGAGGCCCCCAAGCCTCGCAGCAGTCTGTGGGAATACCCCCTTCTGCAGGGCTGATGGCACACAGGGCTGTTGTACATGGATCTTTCCACAAAGAGCCACCTGGGAGGATGCCACTGCCAAAGATGCAAGATCAATGCAAAAGCAGGCAGTGACCTTGTCCTGCTTGCCTGTCACTGACAGCCACTTGAGCCCGGGATGCTAACAGAGCTAGTGCTGAAACAAAACCGCTCCAAATAGATGGCATGAAAGAACCACCAGCTTCGTCCTTCTTCTCCTGTATCCTCTGTGCCCTTCGTGACTTGGGCTACATTTACATCTCTTTTGTAAGCAGCAGCTAGGTCAAAATACCGGTGTGATTCATGGCCAAAGGACGCTGGACAGATGCATGCCACGTCAGAGAACGGCTTCGCAGGATGCTGGGTGTCGATTATCACGAATGTGACAGCCCTGCCATGAGGTGCGGGTGCAGACACACCTCCAGCTGAAGGCAGCAGTGAGGAGCCATCGTTTCCTATATAGAGCAGGAAGGGCTGTAAATTCCTCAGCTTTTTGCATGGCTTGTCATTGCTGACCAGCACAGTCAAAGGTATGTTTGCTGCTGGGCTCCGGTTATCGTTCAGAGGTTGATGCCGATGCCACGGTGCAACCCTCCCTGATGCCGGGGTGCCGCGGCTGGCAGGGAGCCTGGGTGCAGCCAGGTGAGGAGCTGCACAGCCCTCATACCCAGCCCCTGGCCGTGCTCATACCCTCCGAAACCACAGCATCAAAGCTTCCCCACATGGCTGCCACTTGGTGAGCTGGAATTAGATCAGAGGAGCAAAACATCTCAGTTGGAGTTAAATTATATATCACAGGCTTCTCAGCTGCGTGGGCGATGACAACTGACTCTCCACCGTGCCACTGCCCATCGTTTATTCCGATAAACTCTCTGCTGCTTGCACAAAAGCAATACGGGGAATGCTGAAAGCCTCCCTATACCCCAATAACAGGCTATTTG